CGCACTCATTCTGTCCATCTGTTGCGTCAGCTGTCGGGTAGAGTCGTGCCTGTCGTGTCGAACAGCCCGGCAGAAGACGCCACCTTCAACCAAAAACGCACGCGGACAACCTGTTTCTGATCTGATTTTGAACCCTGTGTCAACACATACATATCAACAACATCAGCTGAGCGTTGGCGCGGCAGCTGTCAGAGCGGCTGTGAAGCGAACGTGTACGTGTGGGGAAAAGAGAATACAGCAGTAGCCTTCCCAGCGTACATGCAGAAAGGCGGTGCAAACCGAAGCAATTTCACCTCGTTTATTTTTTTCCTGTTCAGGTCTGTCATATCTGTCATACGGGGGCGATGTTCTTGATTGCTGTCTGTCTCGACTCGCCTCATCCCCACCGGATTTTTGAGACATCACGATGCTACGGTCACTACCTGATACTGTTCGCACGCTGGAAACGCGCGTGTATGCATAGATTGTTCTTCGTTGCCCTTTCGAGGGTGTGTGTGTGTGTGTGTGCGTGGAGAAAAACAGAAACACACGGCTTGATGACGCCGCTCAATCAATTTGTCCTGCCGATGATGGCCATAAGGCCATGATTGAGTCCGACTGCTGAATGAACTACACTCAGAGTCAGCCCCCAAGTATGTACGTAGTTTCCAGCGGCAGTCGAGCAATATATATGTCGTGGCAGTGTCAGCAGAGATGCTGAGCAGTGTGCACACATCTTCGTGGGGACCGCCGAGCCCGAGGTCAGGAGGCCGGCACGCCGGCATGTAGACTATGCACATATATTCACATTCATCCGATCGGCTGCGGGCTTTCAACCCCAAAAATCCAGAAAGTACTTCTTTTTGCAGCCAAAATCCTCCAGAAGGATCTCTTTAGAGTATCGACGAAAAAGCTCGCGGCGGTGTCAGCAGAGATGCAGAGCAGTGCACAAATCTCCGTGCAGACCGCCGAGCCCGAGGTCGGGAGGTCGGCATGCACGAATACACATCCGCGCGGCTGTGGGCTTTCAACCAAACAAAATCCAGAAAACATATATAGCCGAATTCCTGCAGGAGGATCTCGTTGACAGCAGGCAGTATCGATGAGAGAGCTCGCGCCGACCTCCCACAAATGGCGTGGACCTATTTTTTCTTGGTGCACAGCTGTGGCAGAGCAGGATATAAGTATGCATGTGTTCTCCGATGTTTTCTTTTTGAGTGTCCTTGCATCACCCCTTGCCGCGGTCCTTACCCCACTCCGGAGGAGGGATGCACACACATAAGACACACAAATGCATGTGGCATGCGGGACTTCAAGCATAAAAAATCCAGAAAACATGCCGCACTATCAGTCGTCATTCATGGCCATGTCCAACTGCTGAATGAACTGTACGTACGTACAGCAGCAGCGAGAGCAGCCCCATGTATGTTGTTTCCAGCAGCAGTCGAGCAATGTATGCCGTGTCGGTGTCACGAGAGATACAGAGCAGTGCACACATCTCCGTGCAGACCGCCGAGCCCGAGGCCGGGAGGTCGGCATGCACGCACACATAGATTGTATTCACATCGATCGGCGCGGCTGCGGGCTTTCAACTAAAACAAATCCAGAAAATCATTGAAAGAAGAAGCTCGCGCCCCGACGCGAATCCTTTTATTATTGGTCCTACATCTACAGCAGTAATTATGAAGTGTGCTGCTGTTGTTTCTCTGCTGTTAGCTTGTTGTATGTTCTTGCATCACCCCTTGCCGCGGTGCTCTCTTTACCCCACTCCGGAGGGATGCCTTGTATACTTTACGGAATTGAAAGAAGGAATGGGGTTCAAGAGTACCTACATGGACCAATGGATGCCCGGACAAAGCTGAAGGCCAAATGTAGGGACTGGGGACATTCGAGAACGTAGACGAAGATTCAGGAAGAAGGTAGACGGTGTTTGTGCTGTTGTGGTGCGTACTGAAGGAACGTATTGGTCAATGTGCCTGGGGTTTCCCGCCGCGAAGCCGATACGCCGCCGCCTGCGGTCTCCCCGATTTTCGACGGACCAAGCCCAATGTACGCGCGAATTCTCAGATACTCGTCTTTTTTTCACGGGTACCCATCGGTACGATTCGGCGGATTTCTTCCACGGTGTACCGCCACCAAGGCCATCGTTCGAGTTTCGAGCGGTTCCTGATACGGAGAATAGACGGGGACACCGCCCCGCCCCGCCCCGTGGTCATGCGAGAAAGACGAAACCGCGCGCAGCGGTGCGGTGTTACACCCTGAAAAGCCCTGGTGAATGTGATGCCCCGACTTCATGGGATGAGCGACAGAACAACGAACAAGTATTCGCAAGCAGGGGATATGCGCTCACATCGATGGCTGTAAGTTTACCTAGCATAGAACGACGCTAGTCATTGTGTTCTCTCTCCACAAGAAAGACAACCAGGAAAGCTCTCATGGAAGCGGGAAAAAGGGAGCGAAGCGCACACAGCAATCTGTTGAACTAAGAGGAGAGAGAGCAGAAGAGCAGAATGCCGGAGGCCATGGGGACATGTTGGGGGTTCCCAGTTGTCGTTGTCGTCGTCGTCCAACTGCAATAACAAACGTGCTATATTTTGGCCAAGTTTTCGCGCGCAGGTCTCACTTTCCCGGCGGTTTCACGCAGATCAAGCCGAATAGCTCGAGCTTGCCTTGTTCGACGTCTCTATGCTAGACCAACGGGTACGATGGCAGCTATCAGTTTTGCAGAGGCTGGAGGTGAATGTCCATCGTGGCTGTCGTCACACAGATTTATTCCAGGAGAGAAGAGCATCAAGAACCCTCCGTCAAAAATCTCGCGGATATGACCTGGAGATTTAGCTGGCTTTGAGACACGAAAATGTATGCACAGTTTCACTTTGTTCATCGTTGCCAATTATGTGCCACCATTTTCACGGCTGTTAACGGCAATATCTTCGCAGTTTGCTACTCAAGGAGATTGTGCAGGTTTTGAGGCGAACTTGCACATGCGACCAAACATCTCTTCGATGCCACCATCGCGAACCACGCGGTAGATAGAACATAGACAAGTCAAGCCTCGTTGACACCAGAAAACGCTCAGGCACACCACTATACGGGTGCTTGTGACTCGTCTAGCCCTGAACTCCCAGCGCCGCCTTCTCGGCACCGGTATTTTTCTTCTGAGCTATCAAGCCTTTAATCTCAGTCCCAAGGGGGTATGGTATACGCCATCATTCCGGTAGTCGCACCATCATGAGTGGTGACTTCGGCGGAGAAACAAGGCGATTGGTATTAGCTACAATTCAAGCCATCTAGCTCAGGAGGTGTTATTACAGCAGTGGTGGTTTATCGCCAAGAGGCAGGCTTTCTCCGACGCAGGCAGCTTCCAAGAACGTCAGATGTTCGTATCCAATCTCATCCGATTCAGGTTGGTGCGGACTCCCGATGTTTTCGGAGAACGCGGACCAACTCCCGCTCAAACTGACTGGTAGGCAAACCGAAGATGTTCCCAGTTTGTCAAACGCGGAACATGACCAAGGACTGAATGGCAATGAGAGGGGAAATTGTCCTGGGTATGCTCCAAGAGGAGAAAGAGGAGGAGGACAAAAATTGACAATACCCGGCACGAACGATATAAAAAAAACGGTACACATTCACCAACGCTTGCAGGGACAGAGACGATTGGTGGTTGGTGGTGGAGCCACTAACCATCCTGGAAGAGCGAGGAGGATTCAGGCAGAGCTTGGGGCCATTGCAGGAAAACTATGATGGCGCATCGCCACAAAAGTAAGCACCGCAGGAGGGGCAATGCGTAGTATCGGGGATTCTTCGGAGTCTACTCAATCACCCTCTTCTCAATGGCAGTCAGATATTACAAGCTAAAATCAAGTAGCTTTGCCCCTCAAAGACTAATAGGGTTCCATTGTCAGACGGCTTATGTCAGAAGAGAAGGCGCCATGTGGTTGTAATTTTGTGTGGGCCATGTTTGCCCCATTTTCGTGTCCGGAGCACACAGGGTCGGGGGAATACACTCGGATGCGGGGGTGGTGGGTGTGGGAAAAAATGTATAGACTACAGAACACCGCGCTGAGAACCAAGAGTGCAACAATCTTGCATTCTTTAAGCAAGACGATTTTGTGCCGTACACCAGCTTGCAGTCGAGTTTTGAAAAAAATGTTTAGCTGTCTTCGCCGACCTGAGCATAGCAATCGTTCGGCTACAAACTGTCGCGGGCTCTAGACTCGAAACGCAACCTGATAATAACGATGAAGTATGGAATCACCATGGTGTTCAGCAATCATGACGCTTTCGTGCGGTAAAAACTTGTTTCGGCTGTCTTCATCGACCTGAGCCTTAGGAATTGTCCGTGTGGCCTGACTGCTGTATGGGGGGGGGGCGGGGGATGCCTGGTTGGGACAAACCTTACGACGTCCGCTGGCGCAAGCCAACAAGGGGAATTTTGGGAGGGGTAGTCAAGAACAAATCGTTTCATATACGTGAGGTTCGAGCCTGTTTATATTTCAACCCTGCTGGTGCGCAAAAAACGAATCGATGCCCCGAATAATATATTGAACGAATTTGGAAGATACCGACTCCAATCGCCGTATCGTCACTCCCAAATTGCGTGTTTGTCCGATTTTTTCAATCTGTATCTCTCAAATTGAGGGACTACGATAGACCGAGGAGTAGCAGAGCAAAGACAACCGGCGTAAGTCACACGTGATAGTGCACCATTTTTTCTTCTCAAACCAGGCTTAAGAGCAGTATTTACCCGTGTTTGGAGGACATCGTTTGCTTCAGATGCCCCCTTGTATTTTCTAGCGGGTCCCGGTTTATGTGAGGGACACGAGGGGACACCTCAAGCGCGCTCGGCAGGGGTCCGAATACGGAGGGGTTGATGAAAACATTCCTGAGAGGGCTTGAGATGTTTGTCGTTGGAGAGAAACAAGCAACATGTACATTGTACCTTGGGGGGGCAGGCTACCACTCTTCTTCCGTCTCTCCGAATAAAGCAACGTTCAAAACTACCAATAACAGCTCACCTTCGGGCACAGCACTCCATGTGAGTGCGACGGCTTTGTGCTTGTGAGAGGCTCGTTGGACTGCTTATGCTCTTGTGCGTTTCGTTTTCTGTCGTTTTGCTGCGAATCTCCTCGTCTCTGCTCCCTAGAGGCGAACATAACCTGTCAGAGGTTGAGAACCAAAATTCGCACTCTGAGTTGGAGCTTCGTACATGACGACCCGTTCAGAATCCACGTCGACCTCCTTCCGGTATTTGCCAGCGAAACAAAGCATCACAGGTAATAAGCCCCCCAAATGAAATCTGGTGGTAAACGTGCGCCGCCACCTTTGGCCTGGAGACCTCAGACATGGCGGGAGTCGAAGCTCCAAACTCGTCGTCGGCAGTGCCCCATTCAATAGAGCGCGCTCTTCGAAATGGAGTCCAGATGTTTTTTAGGTCGAAAGCAGCAGTGCACTTCATCCAGTATTATCGATAGTACGGATAAGGCTGTCAACAGATGAATGAAGATATTTTTGGTTCTTCGAGGTGCGGTTGGCTGTTCTAGTCAACAACACGTCAGATGTGTGAGCTGCTGAGTGTGGGAAACATCACACCGCAGCTGGCAGTCAGCTGTAAGTTGGTCCCGCTGCCTTTTTTTTGTATCATGCATCACTCCTTGATGACACTACTGTGCCCACTCCGGTAAGGATCAGAATGTATTGACGTTTTTGAAACCAGTGATGCTAAGCTCACCGCATGCCTTTTTTCGTCTGTATTTCATTATGCCTTCCGAAAGCGCTTTCCAGGGGGGGGGGCGTCGGCATACGAGACGTGGGCATGCGTGTCTAGACTAAGTTAGTCTAGACTAGTTCCAGCGGAGCTTTCCTCGAGTAAAATGGCTGGTGAGCCAGATAATTGAGTGTCAGTGTTGCCGCCAACCCTCAATACACACAATTCGGGATGATCGTGTACAAATACATCAGGCACAAGCATCCTGCCATGTTTGAGTTCTGAACAGGCGAGAGGCAATGCGAAATGACACAGCTGTAACACATTTTCAATAATATCCAAGCAACCTCTAGAAATCAAAATATTCAACTAGTCAGCGCTGACTTGTGTAATGGTCCGCAGGTGGCAATGTCGACACTTTCAACCCCGTTCTAGCACAACATGGGCGACGCTTTCCCTAGTCTCCATATGAATAACAGCCGCCTCCTCGAGTTCATGCTAATGGGAGCACTCGGTAGTTGTGTGGTCTAATCTCTCCATACTCACAGGGTTTCGAACTCGACGCTGGTTCCGACACGATGAACTGGTGTTGTTTCTAGTGGAGGCAATCTGTGAAGGGGGGGGGGGCGAACACAAACAAATAAAGGTCGCAGTTGAACGACCGATCAATGACGAATCACAGTCCTTGAGCTGCAACGCCGAAAGGGCAAGTCGGGCAACGATGTCCGCTAACCTTGGTCGGTGTTCTTCGTTGCTTTCGTCCACACTGACGCCCAGTGGATCCCCTCGAGGTACACAATCAAGCTGTATTCCGTCCTGCGTAAATAAGGCGAACCGTGCGTCCCTGAGCATACATGGGTGAATGGGTTCGACCTGAGTTTCTGCTCGTTCCAAGCTCAACAACATCCGGACACACACAGGTGTTATCGGTGACAGCGTTTCATCGAACTAGTCGGCATTTTCTTCGCACTCGCGACATTGCAGCCCAACGCCACACCGGTGTTCGGGCTCCCCTCTGCATCATGAGCGCCCCGAGCGCCGCAACAACGTAACCGGCCATCACCACGGTCATCACCGAGGTCAGCAATCGAGGTGTTTCGTCGTCCCCACGGTCTTCTTCTGCCTCTGCCATCAACGCCAAAGCCAACACCACGAAAGCCTGAAGGGTAATAAAAGAAAGGACAAAACATGCGCAGACGGGATTGCTGTGTTCATTTGGTTCTTTCCGAATATCACCTGGGCGCGATGCCACCCTACATAGTGATCTGCATAGGTTTCTAGTGAGTCTAATCAAGGACGTTAGTCTGATTGAGGACAAATCCATGGCGCAATGGTGAACGTACAACCTCCGCGCACTGCTAAGCTGTGTTTCTTTATCCCACAATAATTACTATCCTCGAATTTTCTTACCGTTGTTCTCAACTGATATTATTTTTATTGGGTAAAAAAGCGGGTCGGTACAGTACTGTACAGCATCCGTTGACTGGCCCGCTTGCAAACCTACCACTCTCCGCTCACTCGCAAATAGATGGCTTAGAGGCCGCAACCACTTCAAGTCAGACTTTGAATCGACCACAACAAACCGGTGTGATTTGCGCGGTGAGAGCTGCGCTGAACGATTGCGTGGAGGACGCTTGTGATCGTGCTTGGTTTGTGAGCTGAGCTGTGGAAATCTCTGCGCAGAGGAGCACACGGACCGATGCTCGCTTGCCACGAATCATGCATGGGTACAGACCCCTTTAGAATAGGCTGCCAACGAGAAAGCTTCAAATCGAATGATCTTGGGTCCACGATACTATTTAGGAGACTTGAGGCGCCCCCCGATGTCACGATGGTATTGTAGTGCAAGGCTCCCCTTCGGAAGATAGGTGGGCGTTCCTCCCGGGGTCGACGCAAGAGGACATGGCCGCTGCAATAATGGTTAGATCGTTGTATATCTCAACCTTCGGTCGTGCCACGGTTGGTTTCGGTAAGCTGCAGAAGAATACCTCGCGCAAATTGCGGGTAAAAGCATTATTTTCTCACTGTGCACGATGGCTCCTCGTAAGCGCTTGCGGTGTTGTGGCCGTCGATCCTACTTCTCCTGCTGTAACACACTGCTGCTGCTGCTGCTGTGTTCTTCAGCTACATTGTTTTTGGCGGGTGCTTCATGTATTTGTACGGTCATCGCTGGGAGATTTCTGCGCAGATTCTCTGCGAGAAGTCCGGGAAAAAAACATTTATTTCCTCTTGCGAAATACCCCGACGGGTAATCGGGAATAAAACGGAATCGGTGTCGTTCCCTAATTATGTCTGTGTTGTCCGCTCTTTACACAGATACGATAGGGTAGCGGCGACTTCGTCGCAATCGCACTGCTGTAACCCGCTACTCATGCTCTCTCCCTCCCTCTTGTGTTCTGTACCGCGTTGCTCATAGTGTGCGGATCGTGTGTGGCTTGTGCAGACCATTGTCAAAATTATTCCTGTTTGACTCAAAGGACAGTTCCGAAAAAAATCACATAGATGCACATGCGCTTGTAGCGTGCGACAGCCAGCCGCGTTTTCGCTGCGGTGCTTTTGCGTCACTGCATATATCATTGTCTTTGCACCAGCTGCTGTGTGGTGGGTGTGTACACAACAACCACAGCAGCTGTGTGGGCGCGTGGGCGTGTAGCGCGTGGCGCGGGGCAAACAACAAGTTCAACAGCTTTCATCCCGTTCGAGGAGGCTTTAATGGTTGGGATTCCCAATCCCTGAAAATAGAGCCAGTCCCAGCGACTTTAGGCGGCCCTAACGCGCACCACCGGTGTCTCGCGAGCCCCACACGTAACGGGTAATGTACCGACGGGTCCTCTGAGTGCCTTGCAGAAGAAAGCGTCACAAAAAACCCTGTCCCGGCAAAGCAAGAGGACAAAAACACCCAAAAATGTGAACTTGGTACACGTACACACAACATTCAAGGACGCTTGGCGGCGTACCGCTTCGCGGTCGCCGCTACGCTCGTAGGTTGTATGGTGATGGCAAGTGTGTACGGGTGGCGTTTTGAAACGAGAAATACAAAGAAGAAATGTTGCGAGGAGGGAAAAAATTGTTTGTATTCATTTGTTCGAAGAGCAGAGACGCGCACCAATGAATCAATTACTCGGAGCAAGAAGTTTGTTTTAAATAAAAAAAGGCTCATTTCCCACGAACAACGAAGGAAAATAAGGTCAAGTAACATAATAGCTCGATCTGGGCCACACGATAGAAGAGGCGTCTCGCTAAGAAAACAGAGGGGCGACCCTATAATACCCTACTATTTGTAAGACACGAGGGGTTACGGGGGGGGGGGGGAGTGAGTGAGTGAGTGTGNAGAGAGATGCATGCACCAAGCAAGCATCATTTTTCTCTCTCTTCCCCCTCCTCTCCCAAGTGCTACCCACCCCCTCAGCGAGACTTGTAGCTGGATAAACTTCGCTCCTAGGGTGTGTGATCTTCGTATGTACAGCCGTCGGTGATGAGAACCGTGGTTGAGTACGGGAGACGAGGAAAAGGAGCGCAAATCATTTGTACAAGGAGTACCTACATGGACCAATGGATGCAGTGACAAAGCTGAAGGTCAACTTCAGGACCAGGGACATTGGCCTTCGAGAAAGTAGACGAGGATATAGGAAGGTAGACGATGAAGACGACGAGTTCAAATGTGACTGCGGCTCCGAGTGCGACGACCGTATTCATGTAGTCGCGGAATGTCGGCTGATCAAGAAGAAGAGGGAAGTGTACATGACTGAGCTGGGAAAAGTAGAAGAAAAGTACAGGGAGATGATTGAGGCATGGGATAGCCAGTATAAGACGTTATCTGTGCTGGGGAGTAGGAAGTGGGTTGAAAAGGCGGGAGTGATATCGGTAGGATAGACAGACTAGGGAAGACATGCTTGGGCCACCTTTGGCAAAGTAGGAAGGAACGATTGGCCATCGGTGATCGGTCCTGTGGGAACAATGCTCCGTCCTCTCGAGGACGCGTGGTCAATGGTCTAACCGCTAAGGCATGCAAAACATGATAATACGCCCCTGCCCCTGGAGAATGAGAAGAAAACAAGGATAGATGGAAGCAGGGAAAACCATCCAATGATGCTCCAAGCGCACAAGTAATGCAGGAGAAAGGGCAGAGCTGGGGACCCAATCCCGACCATCGGGAAGAGACGCAAGGATAAAATGGCAGTGCCGTATATACGATATGGGAGAGGAGAGGTTGCCAAGAGTAGCTTGGGGGGCAACTGACGAAGTTGATACAGGGGAAATGGTACTCCTAGGGGGTTCAAAAAATAAGATATAAACTGTTGCTGTTTCCGCGAGTGGACATATTTCAGCCAAATAAACCAAGGATAAGGAAGGTCTACAGTAGATGTATACGGAATGCTGAACGGAGGATTGGGTTGAAGGAGTACATCGCCCCGGTGGTCTAGTGGTATCTTCGTAATCCGCTAGTCGCAGAGGTCGTGAGTTCGAACCCCCATGGGGTGAAAAATGTACGAAATGTGCGGGTGAAAGCGAAATATAGCTCACAACCTCTCGTGAGTACCAAACTTCGACGTTAGCACCGTTGACGAGGGAAAGGGACGGCCAGACCCTTCTCGCGATAGAAATAAAATTCAGGACGCACGGCAGGAGGAAGGTGGGGCATGAAAAGAAACAAAAAGAAGAAAAAAGCCGTGGTGTTTATACCCCCTCCTGTATGACCCTGGATGGTTGTAGTTGTACGAAAAAATACACTGAAAAGTGTAGTACTCTCCATACGCTGAAAAGTGTATAGTACATGTCTCACGACGAAAAATGGGGGGACTTTCGCCATAATAAATAGGACGAAAACACAGCACACATACATGGATCAATGGATGCAGGGACAAAGCTGAAGGTATAATCAGGACTAGAGACATTGACCTTTCAGAACGTATATGTGGTTTAATTTAGGAAGGTGGACGATGACGACGACAAATTCGAATACAAATGCGGGGGGGTTAATGTAGTTGCAGAATGTCAGTCGTACGGAAAGGAGAGAGAAATTACATGACTGAGCTGGGAAAAGTAGAAGGAAGGTACAGAGTGATGTTTGAGGTATGGAATCGCTAGGAGAGACCGTAGCTATGCTGGGGCATCGGAAGTGGGCTGAAAAGGCGACAGGTGACATCGATCAGAAATAGGATACGGCAAATATTTTTGAGCCACGTTCGGCAAAGTAGGAAGGAACGATTGGTCATCGGTGGTCGGTCCTGTGGGAACAATGCTCCATCCTGTCGGACGCGTGGTCGTTGGTGTAACCGCTACAGGAGGGCTTGCAAAACATGATGAGTATCCACCCCCCCCAGCACCCAGGTACACAGTGCTAATACAGTCCTGGTCCCGGTTTAGCGGTCCATAGTGTCACGATTTTTTTTAACAGCTATTAAGGGCATTGTATCGCAGCTTGCCTCGGGCAACCGTGCTGGTCCTCTACAGGAGCTTTTTTTTTTGTGGTATGAGTAGGTGCTGCAGGTGGTGTGAGGAGGTGGACAATAATAATGTGGTATGACTACATAAATACGAAGTACATATACAACATACGTGTCGGGGTTTAGTCGGCCCAACTGCGCGAATAACAACGGACAGTAATGTTTCTGTCCATTTACGGCGGAATAATCTGTCACGCATCTACTCTCCCTTCTTCCCCTCGCTCCTCGACAAGCTTTTGCTTAGACATGGGTTGTAGCGAAGGGGGGGGTCTTTCTGGCGAGCAGGGCTAGACTCACCCTCAAGGGATGACCGAAACCTTCTTGCTGCTGCGCATCCGCCGCGAGGCGTGCGTGTGGTGGTGGAGTTGGGTCGGCACTGATGGGGTCAGGCGGGAAAATGTAGATGC